ACGGAGTTACTTCAAAAGCAGAAGCGTCTTGCGCGCTCGTCATTTCTTACCTCCCTGTCGCCCTTATCCGATTTACTCTCCCCGTAATCTCGTTTCGTTTGCGAATCTCCCTCGGTCACGAGGAAACTTCGCGTCGTTTCGACGGGAATTTCTTGCGTGGCACGAAGCGAGCTGCCTGACGCATTCGTTGCCGCGCGAAATTCACCGCGATTCTTCAAAGCGTTCTGATTTGTTTGACAGTAAAATTGAGTTCGCCGGGAGGAAAGGAAACGGTTAGATTTGCCGGAGAGGTATTCGAGGCCTGTATCTTTCGTTTGCCGCGCGACTGTTTTACCAAATGAGCTATCCAGACGGTCCAAAGGCACCCTGAGAGTTTAATGTTTGAGACGGCTGTCATCCGCAGGTCGGGCAATCTTGCCGATGTGGTCCTTTTCAATCGCGAGCAAGACACAGAATTCGAAATTAACTGAGAGTTTCGTGTAAAAATACGAAGCGAGAGTTTTTCTTGAAAGTCGGAGAGTGAAAATGTTGGGCTGATGCATAATTATCCAGCGTTTTTTTTTTGTTTGTATCATTCTGTCATTTGAAATCTATATTATACTAACAGAAAAACGTGAATGAATATTTCAGCTTGTAAAGTATCGGTCGCTCCTTTTTCACTGCTACAACACGTGTGTTGTTATCCTATTTCTATAAGGTATTCATAGCTTTCCAAGTCATAACATGTAGATCCTAAACGTGTACAATGGGATCGTCAACGTGTTACGCAAAAGCAACACGGCGTGAAACGTGTTAATAAATATGCATTACGGGAGCGCCGCGATCCAGAGATTAAATCGGTAGGAGCATAAACTAGGAAGGAACGACATACCTAATTCCAATATGCATACTAGGAACACCTAATAAAAAATCCCGTATTGGATTCTGATATCCGTGATTTCGACATCCCGCGTAGCGAGCACGGTGCCGAAAATTTAGCAGTTTATTTAGCGGTTCACTTTGAAATTCAATATCTATCGTTTATCCCGTAATTACCAATTACATTAGCATAATACTACTTTATTGAAAGCCGTTGGGATTAAGCCTTCATTATCCCGATTATTTAGCAAATGGAACGACCGAGCGTCGATAAACTCGATAAATATAAGTGAAATGAATCGTCCTTATAAGCGTTATCCATACGATTCGGCGATTACGATTACCGTTCGTAATTCCAGCCAGGCTAAAACGGCCTTAATGATCGTAAAACTTGCTATTTGGTCGCGCTTAATGAAGTTTCGGTCGTGTAACATTTCGAATAAACAAGTATTCTATGTTCAAAGCGTATCTTCGTTATTACAAAACTGCCTTCGAATATGGAGTATTCACTAAAAGAGTACGGCATGCATATAATGTCTAGTATAATGTGCAAAAATATAGTAACTAGGCAGCGGATATTTATACATTTATGACAGGAGTAAATATACAAAAATATACTAGAATGCGTAGAAATACATGAATATATCAATTATAGTAGATAAAGTGTACGCTACAAAATTTAAAATACTTGTAAAATACCATCTTGTTCTAACACTTTTCTCACGAGCATATTCTGCCCACGAGCTTCGCGCTATTTTCTCGAATCGACGACGATATAATTCGCGACATAATTTTTGCTGGCACAACAGATATATTACATAACTATTGTTGCCTCGTACAAGAGGCTCTTCGGTTTGTGTATCCAGCGGCTTTCAGACGTTCCTTTCCACCCTGCCTCTCCATTACTGGAGTTGCGTAGCATTTTGCTGGCATTTACCAAATTAAGAAGGGAGTCTCACAAAGGAAAACGCTAGTGAATGGCCAGCAGGATAGTAACAGGGACTGGCAGGGAGGAAAAGGTTGGAACCGAATCAAGAAATAATACTTCTGTAGTAATGATGCAACGTCCCCCCGTTACAATCTTTATCCGCCACTGAGGAAGCAAACCCTCCCTTTTTACTCGCTAAAACTTGACCTTCGTTTTCAAGAAGAAACGATACCCTGCCTCTTGAGCATTGTGTTAAGAGTACAAGCCGACGTAAGTGATTTTTCTACAGATAGCACAGGAGAAAAAGCATCAACCCCCTATCGCATGCACTTCATTTCATCTTTTAAAAAATAAATCAATTCTGGGTTATTATTATATCCATAAATTAATGAATATTTTAGTGAAACGATAATTGTTACCACTTGAACAATTTTCAGCATTTTTCACTTTTATGGTTCCACGCATAGCTACACTTAAATTGATCACGAAGCTATACTCTATTGTTTTGCTATTTGTTCAATGAGTAATATTCTTATCTACAAAAAAAAACAAATAACTCTTGTTCTACGCTTTTCTTTCTATCGCTAAAAGTAAGCGAATTATTCAGGTGGCCCATTTTAAATGCCCCACCCTGTATATAATTTTTGTAAGCATGCCATTGTTTTCTAGAAAAGTTCTGATTTGGTACAAACAATTTTTATTACACCCAGAATTCAATATGCACAAAATATATCAAACAGTTAAAGAAAGTCGGTGCATCCCTTCATCATTTTTCTTTTATTGCGACAAAGTAGCGAGATAATATTGCACCGACGTATCAATAAATAATCCTTGAAAAACAACGCAAATCTGCGACGAACACTGCACCGAAAAAGAAAGAGTTAAACGCTAAGCGACAGAATTATGTCACCGATGAAGTTTCGTCGATTACGGAGTCCCCGTTAAGAGCACTGTCTGCGAAAACAATTTCGCGTCTCGATTACTCGTGACCGTGCTCTGCGTTTTTCTTCATTTTCCCGATTGCCAAGATTAATCGGGAAAACGTTCTTAAAAGTTCAGTCAGTTTAATTCGCGTGTACTTGTTTCGCCTCATTTTGCCCCGTCCCGCGTGCGCTCGTGCCCCGAAGGTTTCAGTAAATTACCTTTCTGCAAATTGAAACGTTTAGCAAACGAAACCTGGTCATCCCCTCGTGTAGAGAGGAACGATCCGGTACATAAACGCGGTATATATATTTCAGTACCCGAGCTAAGAGTGCGTGCAAATACCGCGGAGGGGGCCGATTACGAAAAGGAGTACAGACGCACTTGAGCATCATCCGACGAGTTTGCGCGAATACGTCTAGATCGGAGGGATAAAGGCTAGATAATATAGAGCAACTTATCGCGATAAATCACACAAAAAAAATGTGCTCATCTAAAATTTGTAGAAAAATATTTAACAAATACGTAATTTTGTAGAAATTAGCCTGGATGGTTACTCTAAGTGTTTCATAATTTGCTCCACGTCAATCCTGTGAAAGTATTATTGGTATTATAGTTTGCAATATTACATATCATATTTCAAAGCTCGACAATTATAATATGATAGTTGAAGGGTTGATTCTTTCTCGTGTTACCTTCCTACTATTCAAATAGGTATATTTCTTTTTCGTGCATCGTCATCAAAATTTGTCGTATTTGAAAACTGCTAAGATCGAAATCAATTTTAGGTTAAAACTGTGTAGAATGTCAATGAATTTGACACGCATAATTAACAACGCGAAATTATTATTTTATGTTACCCATTAACTGAAAAGATTACGCAGCATTGTTTTAATTTAATATTAACTTCGCACAAAAATATGTCGAACATCGCGGAAAATGAACGTCTGCCCTGTCTGAATGGCTCGCGATAAACAGATTATTAAATTTGAATAACAATGGTTCGAAACAATAGACGCCGGGAACATTTCATTCGTCTCGCGATGGGAACGTCGAAAACTCGCTTCAGAAAACGAATACGCGAGAATGTTTCACGCGCGACCCAGTTGCATCGTCAAACGGAACGTTACTTTTCATTTCGATCTCGAACGCGGGGTAAATAACGACGAAATTGCGCGTTGATTCGACTCACGCACGCCGATATAAGGTTTCGAATAAAAACCGATCGCGAAACGGAGTAAACGTAGAGGAAGGGTGGGACGCAGAGGGTGGACGCTGGTGGCAATTCAGCGCAATCAGCGCGACGATAATTATCATCGCGAAAGCCAGCCGTGTATCGGCGCCGCTGTAATACAGAGACTATTTCAAAACATGGATTATCCAATGTTCGATGTCACCGAGAAATTTAATCAATCGGCACGCTCCCGTCCCGCGCGTGCACTCCGCGCAGAATTTTAATCACGAGAATCGGAAAAATCCGCTCCACGGCACGTACACACGTACAACGCCCTTCTGCTCCGCTGTGCTCCGCTGCGCGGGATCCGCTCTCGATGCTCGCACCCGCTTTGACACCGAGGCGCAACTTTTATTGAGAGATTTTCATCGCGCGACGTTTTATTACGCGAGATGGGAAGATAACGGTAGGCCTGATCTCGCTGGAACAAGCTCTGATCATTTCCATCCGCGGAAGGGCTCTATGTATATTATCGAACAGACGCCTTAAATACATCTTAAAGTTTACTAAGTTTGTTAAGTTACTATTACAAATAAATATATTCTGAGTTATCGTTAGTAAAAGATATAGTGTTTCGAGTTATTTTTATTAAAGAAAATAGTGTTCGGAAATGCTTTCTAAATATGTTTAGAACAGTGGTTCTTAAACCATTCAGATTCTAAATATTATACGCGTAAAATACTGTACATCGATGAATTTGAAACAATTACTCTAACGGTATACACCAACACTTATTCAAATGATATATTACTTGTAAAAATACTTGATCCAAATACATATAAAATACGTGTACTTCGGATTGCAATTCTGATACAAAAGACATTTGAAACAATTACTCTAACAGTATACACCAACACTTATTCAAATGATATATTACTTGGAAAAATACTTGATCCAAATACATATAAAATACGTGTACTTCGGATTGCAATTCCGATAAAAAAGACATTGCGAAATTGTAACTTGCATCAAATAATTTAGTTCCTGTCCGATCTAGACGAGGATTTTGCCCGTCTTTGAGGATAGGGTTGGTTGATACAGTAAAAGAACATTACTTACATAGCGCCAACGTATAGAGCGTCCCTCTTACTATCCAGGTACAGTGTCCTGTAATACAGCATCCCGCAGCTGAATTCCCTCACGTGTTCTGAAAGCAAAAGTAAACAAAGAGATTAAACGCTATGTAGCGAAGGGTGGACACTAGCAGCGGAAATTCATTTCTCGAGCACGACCGTTCTGCCTGGCTGGCTGACGGATCGTTAGATTTTCATTATGACTTTTATAATAACGCCCGCTCCGCCCTGTCCCTCTCTGTCCTTTTTATTTGTCTTGTCTCGGGCCCTGTTTCGTTCGGATGTCGTTTGTTCTCACGTCGACCCGTTGGCGTTGGTAAGCCAGGCAAAGTCAACCAGCAACTTATGTCGTCGCGGAAACTCGTTGGAATTACACAGCACGTAACCTCGCTGTCGATGTCTCCCGTGTCATCGATCGCGCGATGCTTTTATTGTGGTATGAGAGGATTACGAAACGTGTCGAATCGTCAGGTACCAAATGAACAAGAATTGGTCGAAACGCGGAATGGGAACTTATAACCGCGGAATGAGAATAAAAATTTACGTTTTCCAACTTCGAGGAGAACGTGTCGCGAATTATGATTTTATGTCATTTGATCGGGAACCAACTTCTGTTCAATATTGGAACATCTCGTCGACTTGGAAATAGAACTATGTTTCGTTAACAAAAAACTTTTTCAGCATTTAATTGAACCTTCGAATCATTTCCATCAATGTACTTCGTAGTAGCTATATTTCACTCAACATGTTCAATAATGTTTATAACGTGCTAGAATTTAGAAAATTTAATAATCTCTAAACTGTAATCGTTCATTAAAATTTAATGTACAGAGTTTCAGTTTTCATCAAATTTAATGACTGTCATAATTCTAAGGCAGCAACTACGCGAAAGGGTAAACTCAGGATCACGTGAATTTAGACGGGAAAATGTGGAAACTAAATCCTGTATAATCCTACATTCTATCGTAAATCCTAAATCCTATATTCGTTTAAATTTGTTGAAAGAATTAGGAAAAACGCAGATACAAATTTCCTTTCGATTTGACAAAGAGTTTAAAAATGCATCACTCACTCGGAAGAATTATGTTTCTCGAAAACTGTTGGCTTTCGAGTCAAGCGTTATAAACTGAGCGGTTCGTAGCTTCCATCGTGTGTCATGTAAATGAGTGACGCTATAAAACCGCAAGAAAAGCGTCAAAATTTAGGAATGGCGCTGCGCTCGAAGCATCGTAGATTCGGTTTGTAACGACAAGTGGAAGGAACTCGTAATCTTCCTACTTCCTCTTCCCGTGGAAAAGTAATGTTACGCGACACTTGGTCTTACTGTTCCTCGGCTCGTAAATTCGAGGTAAGTTCAATTTATGAGCATGCACGAAGATGCGTTTCTTAATAAAAATTTAACTGCATCATCGAAGAAAGGAAAGGAAGGAAGTATTACGAGGAAGAAAGGGGAATTATTTTTACTTTTGTTCTTTGGTTACGTCATGAAAATATTATTAAAGTAACAGTACGTGTTAAATGTCTAAAAATATAAGCGAGCTTCGAACGCGCGAGGGGCCTAGATACGAATATAAATCGTCAAAATTACCACGCAGGGTTCGCAGCGCGGGAAGCTTCGAATTATACGATGCTAAAAAATTGGATTCATCCTCCTCGCTTTTCGCTCCTTATAAAGAAAAATATCGAATGGATGCGCGTTCGCGAGCTGAGAGCACGCGGCTATTTTTCACAACATTAAGTCAAGCCGGCAATCATTTAGGAGCGCCACGGTGCAGAGTTTCTTTCGGGGGGATGGAAGTCGACGAAGGGGTCGTTCGTGCACCGGTACAGCCATCCTCGCCTCGTGGCTCCACTGTCTCATCCCCCTTTTTCTCTCACTCTATCTCGCCGGCCGACACTGATCTGCTTAACATATGAAAGAAAGCCGCCCTTTCCTAAATATACTCGTTCTCCACTCTAGACTAACACAGCGCGAACAATACTATATTTTATACGGTATCAGGAGGGGCTGACGTCGAATGAAAGGGGTTCCAGCCGCCCAAACACAGCCAGAGCCTCTTTTTTCTCTCTTTCTCCCGCATGTTTACACCGGCACCGCGATTCAAGCCAAACTTCCACCTCTCTTTTTTCAGCCCTCGGCCACGAAACCCATGAATGAATGCAAAAACCTGATCTCTCGCTTTATCTCACGACGGAGTGCCGTATCAACGCGCCTATCCCTATCCCTATCCCTTTTGATATGGGCCTTACTCGAAACCCGCTACGAAATGCCCAGCTACGCGTTCGTTGGCTTCGTGCGAACATAGCAAACTGCAAGTGATATAATCGCGCTATTGTTGCCTCGGCTTAATGAGGCGGACACTCGTCGCGGTTGGTAGATTACGTTGAATGATGAGTTCGGATTTTATGGAGAGTATAGGAAACCCCATTGTGAGCAGAATCCACTTGTCGTGTTGGGTCGGGGGAACCGTTTCATTCGTCCGTTTCGAACATGATGCATCCTTTATTGTTGTATTTTTATTTAAATATATAATAACCGCTCGTGAACTCAACGTTTCGCCAACCAAACATTTATCGACAACTGCGTTTCATTTACATGGTTTAATTTAAGCTTTTTGAAATGAAACTTTGAAATAATACTTATCGTGTATCTACAAAATAACTCGACGGTGAAATTTCTTGAAATCTCACGTTGTAATTAACTTGCAGTCGTTACAATAATATTCGGTAATAAGCTCATCGATTGCGATTAACGGAAATTGTTAAATCAGGCTGTCGACGCGTGTCAATTGTTAATGACTGTTTTACAAGTTACCAAAAATTATAAAAATACAACATATTCATTTCTTATCGAATATATGAGCCGTTCACAGTACAAATCGACTAACTTCACTTTTTGAAAAATCTTAAATAAAGGGAATAAAGGGAATTTTAGAAAACAATGTACATCATTTCATCGCATTTAATCGATTCGGGCTCGTATTAATTACATGATTCAAAAGCTACACTATTTAAATCTCCTGATCTTTGTTTCCACATTTTGCAACGAAATAGCTTCAAGTACAAAAAGTTAGAAACGAAGCTGCTATTTGTATCTACATCTTCTCCTAGCAGAGAGAAACTTGCACCTGTTTGCTAAATCGGCGCGTAAAGGCCGCGAACCAGAGAATTCCGCGATCACTTAAGGGGCGGGAAGTAAGGGATTGAAATTTATATTCGCTGGCATATACGACAGTTTGTTTTTCGAGGTCGTCAACGACGTCGTGCGTTTATCGCGCGCGTTATTCTGATTTTATTCTCGCAATAAAACGCATACAACTATCGGGACCTCGTTCGTTTCAACGGATGACGCGTCTATTTTCTACGTGCCGTAAAATCGTTCACTTCAATGATCCTCGCGGTTGTCGCCTTTGGTCGGGCAAGCAGAAGAATCGGCTCTGCTAGGGGAAGGTGGTTCCAGCATTGAGAGCGACTACTCTCTTAAATCCTTTGCTACTTTCATTGAATACCGTCGCACTCTGAGCTTTCGTGTTCCCTGACCGTGGAAGAAGAGGTCCATTTTCATGTGAGACCAAGTCATGACTTCTAATACTGCGTGACATACAGCTATTACCACAGAGATGTAACTCTCGCATAAGCTGCAAGTGTGTTATTTCGAAGTAAAGATTTTACTTATATTACAGAGAGACATAATACACAGAGCGTTCGGTAACTGGTGGTTCAAGCGGAAAGGAGGTGGTTCTGCACGAAAAAATGGTCGAAAATATAGAATAAAAATTATCCTCTTGATCCATAAATAAAAATGTATGCAATTTATCGCTAATTGAACAGTCTTTCTAGATAGGTTGAATAACTCCCCGCGATGTTGTTGGTATTTGCACATCGCGATGGTTGAGAGTCGCTGTTCATTGAGACGCCGTTCGACCGTAGGACTGTGAAATTAATTTTACGTGCGGACGAGAGACAAAGCGACGCGGCAGTTCTAACTTCTATTTCTGTCTTCCATTCACGAGCTATTGGCTGTGAGAGGCACGTCGTTATTTTCGCGACCATCTCGCTCGTTGGCGACACAGCTCGTTCGAAGGTTGAAATTTCTAGTACGCGATCGGTGATCGTACGATTCGCGCGACTGATTTGTAAATGAAGGTTAAGAATGTTTGTAAGAGATCGGACGTTCAAATTTTGTTCAAATGATATTTGAAAGATCAACGCAAGTCAGGAGAGTAATTTGCAAACGAATTAATAAAAGGACAATGTTAGTTACGCGCAAGCAAATTTTCATTTATATTTTGACACTATTTATGAATATTTCCTTGCTCGTTACAGGTATAATAATATTAAAAAAAAAAGAATATAGTAATAACAAGATATTTCTCACTACGAATACAATGGAGAACTGATCATTCTCGAGGATTATTACCAGATAATTTATTTCAATTGCAGATCATTATTTTTCGTAAAAGCATACGTGTGCCGAAAGTGAGGATTTCGGATGAATTTTTAAATAGTTGTATAAAACTTTGGCGAGTGAAAAAATATAAAATTCTGTTTGTGCTCTGTCCTCGCGTGCATCCTGTAATCAGCCTCACTGCTCGATGAATCGTGGCCATTCATAGAAAGCATCTTTTAAAGTTATATACCCGTCGCATCGAATGTACAAATAATCGTTGACGTTCTCTCTTTGCGTGTAGTACGTGAGCGCTGCGCTGTTTACGTATTTACCGAGACGATAATACACTAAGCGCGAAATGTAAATCACTAATTGCCAAATGTTTGCGTATCACAAGTGTGTTCTCTCGTCGAATCCGCTGCGAGAGTTTAGAAAGCTTATAATCCGCGTAGCTCTAATAATGACTGAGTCAATGGTGGTCCAAATTTGTAATCCATGCGATGAGCATTGGTTCATCAAGCAGTACTATGTAATCATTCTTATGAAAAGAGTATATATAACCTTTTCAACCTAGAATCAGTTATTTTTAGTTAAATAAATATATGTACATTATAATTTCAAAATAATTACTGTAGTAATAATAATAATACTATAATAATAAATAATCTTAACGAACTGCTTGTT